TGTACGGGAGGGTCGAGTCACTTCCCGGGCTGGTGACCGGAGGCCGTGCGATTTCAATAAGGCTGATCCCAGGGCGTGGGGGACAGGGGGTCCAGTCAGTGGCCCCCGAACGGTCTAGACTGTCCACTTCTGCAGACGCCTCTGGGTGGGACCAGGTGCAGAGCAGATGCATGTGTCTCAGGGTGGAAATACGCAGGGGATGCAGATCGGTAACCCCAGGAGCAGTGCTTTTGGCTGTGCCAGAAGCCGGCTCCACCCTTTCCCCAAGGACACCAGCCCCCTGGTGTCTGCCCACCTCCTGCAACCCCGCTCCCCGCCCTCGGGCTTTCTAATGGGCCACGGCTGTTAAGTTGTCCCTGTAGCAATTTAGATCACAGAAGAGACTTCTGCACACCCTTTCAGGTTAAAATCACAAGGATAAAGAAAGAGGCAAAATTATTCCACTGTAGCTACGTGTTTAAATTATATGGAATGCTGCATAAATTGTCAAGTGCAAAGAATTATTCTGATAAATTAAAATACTAATTAAATAGGCTACTGCAGAATCTTGAGAACATTGTAGGGTTCTGCTCCTCCAGCTAATTTGCATATCCTTCATCTAGTGAATTTAATTTTAAAGGACTTCTTTTTGTGTTTGGAAACCCTTTTTGTCTCCTGCGAAGATAAGAATGGGCTTTATGCATTGTTCTCGGCTTTATTAAAGCAGCTCCTCCTGGGGTCTCTCAGTCCTGGCCTGCTGGTGGCTCACGCCCACCAGCTCTGGGTCTGCATTTGGCCATGAAAATAACTTGGAGCCAACATTCGACAGAACATGTAGCCACAGCAAAGCTTTTCTTTTCCTCTCAAAGGCCTCAGCAAAGCCTGAAAAAGTGGCAGTGAGTTTCACACCCCGGTGGAGGGTGATGCTGCAGTTAAACGTGTTTCTAGAGAGGAGTGGTTGCTGGCCGGGAGGGGAGCATGGGGGCTGGTGCCCGTGAACCAAGTCTGAATGCCTGATGGAGGTCACGGCGTACATCTGGGTGAGGGATACCACGTACGAACGTATGAGATCCAGTCCCACTGAGCAGAAGGGATGGGTGAGAGGAAGTCCATGCAGCTGTGCAGGGAAGTCTCAGAGGAAATATACACAGTGGTGAATGTGTAAGAATGATGCTGGGGAAGATTCCGGAATGGCCTGAGAGTTACAAAATGTGCTCAAGACTACTGGGTTTGTTGCTCTTTTAGGTCAATTTGAGCTAAAATAAATAAATATAGATAAACAAACAAAAAAACCCCAAAGGGCTGTGCTTAAGATAAATTGTGTACCTTTCACACATGCTGGAAAAAAGGCACCATTACAGTGTCTCTGGCTACCATCCCCACCAATGAGAAATTTCAGAGAACGAAAAACTTAAATACAGAGCGAGACAGGCTTTGTTGAAAAGGACTTGATGCCCAAGACTGAGAAGTTCACAAAAGAGCACGAAACCACGAGCAGTGGGTTGAAGTCCCACGGACGCGCGTGTGCCAGCCACCAAGGGGACTTGCAGGTGTGACTGGAAACCGCATCAGCCGTCTCTGCGGGCATTTCTCAGCTGAGGGCAGGAAGATGGGGGCCCTGGGTGGGTTCTCGGAGGACCCCAGCTCCAGGCAGGTCCTCGGGGCACTGTCACTCTCTGGACTAGGATGGAGGTGGACTAGAGGTGGATGCAAAGGTGGCATGATTCACGGTTCTGGCTCGAGTTGTTAGGAGGTGCCACGGCCTCAGGAGGCTCCCATGGGCATCACAGCAGAGGCTCCTCGTGTAAAGAGCCCCTGGTGGGGACAGCCTCAGCGAGATGCAGAGGCTCATGCCGTCCTTGGAAAATACAAGGAAACGTGGACAAAGTGGGGTTTTGGGGGCAGATTCACCACTTGCTGAACAACAGCCGCTATAGAACAGAACCTGTGGGTTAATGTGAAGCTGAACAGTGGTGACCAGTCCTCCCCGCAGGGTGCTGCTCCTGGGTCTGCCCTGGTTGTGTGTGTGTGCGCGTGTGTGTGCCCGTGTGTGAGCGCCCACGCGTGCAGTTATTTGGAGGAGGTCCACTTTGGGGAGGGGTGGTTAACACCCTGCGTCATGTGAGGAACATAATAGGATCGGAGGATGGAGCAGAGCGGGGACAGACGTGACATCCTGACCCAGGTGACAGTGATGGGCCGCCTGCCCCACCTGATCTATCACACCTGCGGAACAGGTGACACTCCTGGGACTCCCGTAGCGGTTAATGGAACGACCGGGAAGACAGCGATCCCTCGTGCTGATGCTGGAGGGACGAGGTCACGTCCGGGCCGCTTTCCAGTGGATCCCAGACGCTCCGACTGCCCGCAGGACGCACCTCCAGCACGTCCGTCCCATCCATCCCAGGGTTTTCGTTTCTCAGGGACAATTCCGTGGAGTGCTGTGTCAGTTCTCAGTGACAAACCCTTAATGGACGCAACCCCTTGTCAGCACGAGTCTGGGTCCCTGGGCTCCCTGGCTGGACCCTCAGGCAGGGGACGTGGACCCTGAGAGGCGGTCAGCCCGGAGGGTCCGCAGTGGCCGCACTTGGGGACGGGTCACCATGAGGGTGAAATGACATCACTTTCCAAGGCGACGCCCGTGGTTTTCCGAGGATGGTGCCGCCATCAGGAACGTTGCTCAGGCTCCGGGGTGACCTTCCAAGCACATGATGCCCCTTCTAGACGTTTCTGCTTTGTCGGAGGTGCCCGTGGGAAATTTTCTGGTAGAAACGAGGACGCGTGTCTTTCCTCCACAGCCTTTGAGGCCATGAGCTGAGGTCGGTCTATAGTGGGCCCCGTTCCCACGATGGTGGCCGGAACAGCCCGACTGCAGACGTGTTCAGATGCGGGGAAACACGCATTGTAGAATCGAGGAAACGTGACATGTTAAGACCTAGACTTTGGGTAGAAACAAAGTACTGTACAGATGGGGCTGGAGCCAGCTGGACTGGTTACTGGAGCTCGTCTTTACTTTTTCAGGAATTTTTTGAGCCGGTTATTAAACACAGCCATTATGAAAAATTAAGTTTTACACACTTGCAGTTAATTACGTTAAAGACAAGAGGCCTCGATACCCAGCCAGTCGCCTGTACATTTCACCACTACCGGGCGCTGTGGCTCCCCTCCCCCTCCGCACCCCACTGGGGGCCAGAGCTATGTTCACAGAGGGGAGAGGTCGGGGGCGTGTCTGGCGGGGAAGCGGCTGCCAGGGCCTGGGGCGAGGAGCCAGCCCGGACCCTGGACTGGCCTGTGGCAGTGGTGCTTGGGGGACACAGGGAAGCTGTGCTGAGACTGACTCTCCCGCCACGTGTGGAACGGGGACAGGGCCCAGGCACAGAACCTTCTGCACAGCGTCGGGAGCAGGCATGGGTCTTCGGGCAGCGAGCAAGGCCCACAGTCACCTCGGGGCTCCGTGGGCTTGTGCAGGACACAGTCAGGACCTGTCCCTTGTCCCTCAGGCCCGTCCCCGCAGCCGTCACACTGCCCGCCCGGTTGGGGACCCATGGCGGCCGAGCCTCAGGTGTCTCCACCTGGCCTTCCCAGCAGCTTTGCTGACCCCTGGACTGGGTCATCTGCATCTTACTGCCCGGCTGGTTTGTTCCTTCCTGAGCCTGGAATGCCTGTCGCTTCTCGGCAGCAATGGTGGAGCACTTTAATTTCCATCTTTACTTTGTGCTTTGTGTCCCTCAGCCTATTAAAGACTCACTATTATCCCCAAGGAGCCTGTCATTCAGCAAAATGCCTCCTTTGTTCACAGGGGAACATGAAAATCAATTGCTTTATACTCTTATCTCTTAAGAATATTCTCCTCCATTCAAGGTTTACCTTTGGGCCACTGGCCCTCCCTGCCCCTCGGCACCCCCCAGCTTAGAGGCTCTTAAAGTGCTGGCGCTCTATCTAACCCCAGGTTGGCGTCTGCCCCCGCCCCAGTGCTTGCATAATTACCTAAATGTAAGAAATAACGTTGGTTTGTTCAAAGGAAAACTTTCTGCCAGACGATGAGAGAGCCCCAGAGGCAGGGGAGGCAGGCCATAGCAGGATCTGGTTTGTATCCCTCTGAAAGATATAATTTCGTTACCCAAGACTAACGTAGGTGTTTTACAATAAGAGGTGAAAGTAATTGCTATTTTCTTGCTATCTCGTTCTGCATTAATCACAGTTGCAATGCACTCTTCCTTCTTAGGGTTTGCAATAAAATCTATTTTTTTCTGGGTTTCATTTCCAAAATGACAGGGGCTTTATCCGAAAGAATACTTCTACAGAATCGTAAGCCAAGGTCGATTGCTTTGTGACACACTTCCTCTCCAAGAGGTGGGGACCGCGGGTTTGACGTGCTGGCATCGGGATTAACTGGGCTTCCTCTCCGGCTGCTAATTGTTTCCAGGGCTCAATCCGCTTGGTCTGACACGGAGGGTAATTTATTCTCGGAGAGTCTTCCTCGCTCTAAGTCAGGAGCAAACTTGGATGAGGGTTGATTGTGGTGGAGGCAAATTATTATAGGATATTCTCCTGGGGCAGGAGTAAGAGGGGTACAGCAGCTCCCAGGACTCACGGAACGAAGGCGCCGTTCAGTCTTGCCTGTTAGCGAGTCTATCTTGTGAACGCGGAATGCTTGTGAATGGAACCCAGTTCCCAATGATTATACACTTGTAACCATCATATCGTTCGAAAGTAAAGCCCTACAGTTTGCAAAGCAGGTCTGCCCACCATTTCTCAACCAGTCTTCACAAGGATACTGTGAATTTCCTATGGACGTTCTGTGGGCAAAGCTGGAGGGACTTGCGTCCTGGTCCTACATCTGCCGGCCCCTCGGTGGGGAGCCCCCTGCCCCGGTTTCTGCCCCAGGCTTGTCCACAGCACCCGTTAAAACGGCGATCTGGCAGTGACTATGGAAGTGTCTGCAGAGGGAGACGCTCAGGGTGTCTGGAGAACGCTTGCCTCTCAAAGCTGACCGCTTACTTCTTAATTTCCCCTAACAGTTGACAACAAGGACCAACTGGAAAAAATGTCTGGACTGAGAGTTCTTCAGACCGGAGTCGGCTCGGTGAGTAGCTGCGGGCAGTGTGGCCCGGGCGGCCTGGCAGGCTCGGGCTGGGGGCAGAGGTCAGTCGGCACCAGGTGGGGGGCTGTGGTAACGGCGGCCCCGGCGTCTGGGCCGGGTTAGTCCTCCCGTCCCGTCGACAGAAGTGCTGACGTGCCATGCCAGGCTCGCCTGACACTGTTTGGTTGCCTTTGAAATCGTGATTCGGTGTCTCCCCAAGAAAAAGCGGTCATGGCTAAGAAAACATTGGATGCTTCAGAAACGTGTACTTCCTCCTTCAGACGATTCTCAGTTGCTGAGTCTATATAGCAAGAGAAGTTGCTCTTTCCTCTGGGTCTGGTGGGCACACTTTCGTCTTCCTTGCTAAAGACGCGTATGGGGTGGGGTATGAGAGGAGGACTGCTGATAAATTTAATGACCCTCAGAGGTGTCGTGTCCCAACGTCGCTGCGCTGGCCTCAGAAGCAGGTACTTGACCAAACTCTCCATCAGCAATTAGAGCCGCTGGCACTCAGCCCCAGGCCCTGGCGGACGCCTGAGCCCCATATCGTGGGCAATTGATGAGTTATACGCACAACGGCGGACGCGACTCCTCTCGGGGGTGGCTGTCTGTGCTCGCACGTCTGAAATCGCAGATGTCACGGCACCCGCCGTGACAGTAATTAACTATTAAGGGCACTTACTTACGATGCTCCTCGCCCAGGGCGGAGATGCCCCCACAGAGCCACTCCAAGGCCAGCCGCTGTCTTTGGGGGAGGCTCCGCTCGGCCGGCACGGTCCCGGCTCTTGAAATAAGAACTTGTTTAGTGGCTGGTCCTCCGCAGACGGAGCCTCCAGCTCTGCAGGCAGTGGGCGGGCGCCTCGCCGGGAGCGCCTCGCAGGGGGCGCTGGCCTTGAAGTCACCGTGTTCCCGGCACGCGGCGGGCAGCTCGGTGACCGCAGACTCATCCGAGCGTGGGGCCGGGTTGATGAGGCTTTGACAGCTGAGGACATCCTGGTCTTTTCTCCCGAAACTCACAGTAACTTTGGCGGCCAGGGATGGGGAGGGCGGCGCTGGGAGTCTGTGGGTCCCTAAGACCATCTGTACCACATGGGGTGCAGTGACTACTGGCGGGAAGGGCCAGAGGGCTTGGAGGATCCGGGCCCGCGACAGAAGGTTCTGACCCTCAGCCCCTCCCCTCCCCCTCGTCCCTTGGCCTCTGCAGGTGTCCCTCCTTCAGGAGCAGCCCTGGTGCCCAGCGGCCGGGGGCAAGTCCAGACTGAGTCGGGTTGGGGCCCTTGGTGTTCTGGGGTCAGAGGACGCTCAGGCGCTGGGCCTAATCCTAACCCTAACCCCTCCCTGTGCAGGGGGCAGGGAGTGTGTTCCATAGAGGCGGGCTGGGCCGCCCTGGAGCAGGGGGCAGGCAGGGCCAGGGGGGCAAGGTGCAGAGCCGGGGGCTGGGAGGTGCAGAGCCGGGGGCTGGGAGGTGCCTGGAGCCGCCCGGTCCTCCGCCCGCCCCGTGGTTGCGGTTCCTGGGCAGCGGGGAGGGTGGAGGCGGTGTGTTAGGACTTTGCAGACTCATCTCACTAGAGGTCACAGGCACAGATCCCAGAGGATGCTCACCGCCCACCACCCTCCTCGCGCCTAGCAGGCAGCGCCCAGCGCACACACACACGGCTGCCCCATCTGTGACCTGCCGCCTGCATCCCTGCACGGAGACCCGCGCCTCCCTCGGCGAGCCCACACCCCCTCCCTCCGGGCACGGTGCCCCCCATGGCCTCCTTCCTGTCCTCTCGTCCCCTCTCCTGCGTCGCCACTGCTCCGTCTCCCTGGCCCCATCCGGTCAGCACACAGATATGCTCCAGTGTTTTCTGATTCACTAAAGTGAGAGCTCCCGGGACGCTGGTCTCACCACGTCAGCGCTTTTGCCTCCCACTGGCTCCCCGTCTCCTTCAACACAAAACTACCCTCACGTGTGTCTGTATCCCTCGTGCGGACACATGAGCACCTGCTTGCTCCTGACACCCGGCCAGGCCTGGTCCCCACTGTCCACTGGACGGTCCACCGTCTGCAGCCCCAGAACCTCAGCTGTCGGCCCATCTGCAGTGGTCACTGTCCTGAGCGTTGCTGACTCACCTTCTGAAGCCCGGCTGCTCTGAGCGCCTCTTTCTGTGGGATCTGCGTCTCCCTGAGGCCATGGGCTTTATATTGTTTGTATGGTGATGACCCCAGAGTCTACCTGCAGCCGGTCCCATTCGCTGTGTTCCAGGCATGCACAGCCGCCGGCCCCTGCCTTTCTGTCCTTGGAGACCTGTGACGCGTTCCCCGAGCCTGGGCAAAGCAGGGCTCTTAATGTCCCGCCACCACCTGGCTCTGCCGCAGCTCCTCGGCTCAGTAGTGGAAGCTGGTGACGTGCTGTCCAGGAACTGGGAGCCTGAGTTGCTCTCGGCTTGTCTGTGAAGATGACAACCTAACTTCAGAGGGACATCCTCTGCCTGTTCCAGGTGCCCGTCTCACATGGGGGCAGGCGGTCCCACCTAGACTGGGGGCGGGAGGTGGGGGGTGGGCACAGGGCAGAGCAGAACCCCCGCTGCACCATTCCTGCATTTTCATCGAGTCTGATCCGCTTCCTCTCTGGTCCCCAAGTGGCCAGAGCCTGACCTCACCCTCCCTGGGGGCAGAAAATGGCCACCTCCCAGACCATTTATTGGTACTTCATTCACCGATGGAAACGTGGGTGAGAGGCTTTTCCACCCTAGTTCTCCCTGAGCCGCCTTTGCCTTCTTAGGGCCCCAGGGGTTTCCTTGGTCCACACAGACCAGCTCTCCAGTCTCCTGTCCTCTTCCACGTGGCAGTTTTCCATTTCAAAAGGCAGTTTTGCTGTCACTTTTGAAGTTGTCTGGGGTCATTCTGGTGGGTTCTCAAGCCCAGAACCCACATTCCATGCAGCTTTGCCTGACCAGTCTCCAGTCTGGATGGAGGGAAGGAGCGTTTGTATATTTGGAGTGAGTTTTGGATCGTGAAAACGGGAGCAGAGATATTTTTAAAAAGCTAACAATACTTCCTTTTCTAATTTCAATTGCCTCCTGCAGTACTGAGCCTGATTTTGATGCTTCTGGTTTTCTTTGGAACGTATTTGATATGAATGTCTCTGCTAATTCCTGACTCTGGGAAGTAAAGCAGACTTTGATTCCTCGAAATCTAACAGCATTTACCGAATGTCTCCCTGGTGCTTGTGATTCAACATGTGATGACAGATAGCGGAATTAAAACCTTTTAAGCCAAATGGAAATATCTCAAAACAAAATTTAAAGGAAAGGAACAGGCTACAGTAGACACACACGTTCCTGATAGATGGGTAGTATTTTGACGTGTTTCAAAATCTAATTTCTGATATCTTGAAAGTATTCACATTTTTTCAGATGAATAAAGTCATGTTTCTTCCAAAGGGAGATTATGACATTACCAAGAAAAACTCAAATATTTGGAAGAAAAATAGATGATTGTCCCCAGGCGAGCATTTCCATGAGTGTGGCTTCCAAGGTGTATCTGAAATAAGTCGTAACTTCCTAAGTTCTCGATAGTGTGATAAACACAGTATGATTGACGATTAACCTGCCCACGTTTCAGCAGGAGTCTCAGTGCAGCCGCGGGAGGCTCGGGGCTTCAACAGGGAAACCCAGAAGCAGCGCGTTCCCGGTGCAGACGCCCCGCTCAGCCCCGGATGGGCTGCCTCCCAGGCAAAGTCAGGCAGGAGGGGACAGGCCTCCATGCAGGTTCTGGAAGAGAGAGGAGGAGGTTTTCCTGGACCCGTTGAGGGTCCTCGGCTCCAAAAGGTAAACTGATGAAGACAGAAAACAGGAGCGAAGCAGCACCTTTATTTAATCTGAGTTTCATGGGACACGTAAGGGGGTGAAGCCTGCAGACGTGGGTAGACCGGCCGCCTTCTGATGGGTTGGTGGGGAGGGCCGGGGGGCGTGGGGACCCGAGGTGGGTCTGCAGCAAACCGGGTACAGGGCGGGCACAGCTCCCACGAGGGTCTCGGGCCTGCTTCGGGGAGAAGGGGGTGGACAAGGTTGGAGACACCTTCGGCCGAGGTGTCGTGTTTGGGGCAGTGTGTCCTGCACCCACCACTCATGCCGTGGGATGTCAGACCTGGTTTCAGGTACTTCAAAGAGCCCTGGGCTTCCAGAGCTCTGCTGTACGGGGGCGGGAGGCCACGGGGCCCCAGCAAACCGCCGTCCACGCGCTGGTTTAACCCACTGAGCTTCCCTTCCTCAGTCACTGTTTGGGGTCCTGGATAGGATTTTGTCCAAAGAAAGGATTTTTGTAGCCAAGACTGTGTCGATCCCCAGAGCCCCTTGAGAGTCTACGAATCCGTGGTCGTGCTCCTGCCCCCACAAGTCAGTGTGACTTTGTCGTGCGATGTGTGTGTTGGTGGGTGTGTGTGCCTGACAGCCGTCCCATGAGGCCGAGCGGGTGGGACGGGGGTCCGTGATGGATGTCTGAGAAAATGGCTCATTTCCTCTGCAAACCCCACTTCGGCATCGCCTGTCTGCTGGAAGGGATGCTGCTGCTTTAATGAGCGTTACCAAAACCTGAGCCCAGTGGTTTAGGGATTTCTGAGAGCAACTGGGCATCACACATCAGTGGGCAGAGAAATGCAGGCGGGGATGGCCCGAGTCACGGGGACCCTCGGGGCAGCAAGTGTCCAGCCGAGTCCCCGGAGACCCGACCACAGGTCTGGATGGACTCGGGGGAAGAATTGACATCGAGGGCCCTTTGCCAAGGCGTGGAGAAGGCACAGAGTGACCCCACCCCCAGCGAAGACGGTGGGACGCAGCTCCACGTGGTCCTCAGTTTGAGGGGAAGCTGTCACCCCCCACGTGTCGCTTTTCACGCGTGGACGGAGCCGGCACCTGCCTTTAGCACACTTAGTAAACACCAGCAGGTGTGCAGTCGGGACTCACAGGCGATGGGGCACTTGGCTTGCGGGAGCGCGTTGTGGCCGTGTCAGTGGGTGA